CTGTTGTCGGCATCAGCGTTCAACTTTTTAAATGTATCCCCAAGTTGAGAAACTTCTATCTGGACCATTTTTAATAGCTCTTGGTCTAGTGGATTACCCAAGCACAGCTCCTTTCCTGTAAGGAGTTACAGATAATATATTGAAATATTGCTTGCCTATTATGGATGGCTGCTGTTTTGAGGTGAACAAAAAATATTAATTTTCTTAGACCGCAAAGGAACATGAAAACATTTTTTGAGTTACTAACAGTAATAGCTAGAGTTGTGTGCATGTATAGCTTTCTGTTGGTTGGGATGGTTAGGGTTAATATTGAATCGAAACGGTTCAACTTGATCAGCTAGATTAGGTACACTGTTGAGCTACTGTACTGGAACAAGAGGCCAAGTCCAAGCTACGGCATACTGTTCTATCTGTTAAACTGTCTAGTTCAATTGGCTAAAGTGTTTAAATTTTATATTTTCTTTGTTTCTGAAAAGTTCCATATTTTTTCTGCTGGGCTATAGAAAAAGGTTTTCATGCCGTCATATTTGCTGACAGCTGTTAAATTAATTACCAAAAAAATGAAACCTTTCTTACCATGTGTAAGAATAACTTAAAACCACTTAACAAAAGGCAATTTAACAAAAATATTTACAGTACCATTTTTCTTCCAAATATTTAAATCATCAAGGACAAGATTTTCTTCAACCGATGTCAATCCAGCTTTTTTCACCAATGACTCCATCTCTTGTATCGCAGTCTGATAATTTGGCTCGGTCCAGTGTGAGAAATCACAATGTGCCCATTCATTCCTGATATCTGACCTGACTTTCTTTGCCAGAAGTGCAGCACCAGAGGAAATAAATGGTTGTGCTTCACCCATTACTGACAGAACAGCAGAGGTATCCATGGTGTGGTCAAAACCAGTGAAACTTGCCATGAAAGGTTTCATAAACAATTTTGCCAAAGATAAAGGGTCCTTCACAGCGAAATCATATAACTTTGGAGACGTGCGCATAGTATTGTTGTTAATACTGTCGTAATTTAACTTTAATGTAGATGACGGCAGGTATTTCTCATACTTTCCTAAATTTTGTTTATCGATTTCTATAGGAGGTTTAATCAAAGTCTGGTACCATTTGGGAATTTCGTTACTGAGTACCTTCCTTAGAGCAGGCGTCAGAACCTTATGGAGACATATACCAGCAACTACCCATCTTCGTTCTTCACAAAATACGTTCTTGCCTGAACTTGAACCACCAGTACTACCAGAAGGTACAGCAGCTGCAGCCATTTTTTAATCTTTGGAAGAATATTTTAGAACCTGTTAACAAGGAAATATTAGAGCTCATTGCTTAGCGGCCTGCATGCTGTTATGTGCACGGAGAATAAATACTATTATTAATTATTTTGTTTTAAGTAGTATAAGTATAGTTGAGGTAACGTGTTTAGAATATTTTCCAAGTATGTTACATTAGGTACAAATCAGCCAGATCGATGTATAAAATATACACGATGTATAAAAAACAGAGTCAATTTTATTGCACTGCGCGAACAAACAAACTTAGGCTTAAATTGAATCTAAAAAAATTCTCTACAATATTGGCTTATTCTTGAAAAGACAAATGCACAAATTCTGAAAAAACATTGCCAAGATTTATATAAGCCTGCCCGTGCCGAACAAATTTCGGCGGCCATCTTTCTTCTTTGAATAGAGAATATTCCATTTTCATCAAACAAAATAAAAAAAACTAGGGATCCAAGGATAGTGTGAAGTTTCAAATTGAAAAAGACACTGCAAGAACTATATAGGGTCGCCGACAACCTAGAAAAGCTGATGACTTACACTACGAAATAAACAGTTACCAAAGGCATTTCATCTCATTTACTGCTTTTAATACGCTCAGCACACGAGTAGCGTGACGTTTGAAACAAGCCTAACACACCAGAAACGTGCCTTGTGAAACTGATGCAATTTATCTATTTATTGTGATGCTATACGGGTTGTTTCACCAACAACCAAATTTTGCATATTCTAAATTTTCATTTGCATTTGCAGCTGTCGCTAAAAGCATCCCCACGAAGCTACTGCTATGCTAAATTTATCTAAAACTATAATTGAAATAGCTGTGTAAGATATGTTATGAATAATAAGCACTACGTCGTTACATCATTAAAAGGACGCATTTTATCCTCATCCGTTCCGTATTTTATCCGCATATCCGTTCCGTGGATCCGCTCCATCCGCATTTTAACCTAATTGTGACATGTTTCACAATAACAAGTCTCATTGACCTTTGACACAGAATAAAGATTAGTACTAGAAGGGCCGCTCAGCGGTGCAACGTGTCGCCATTTTTTTATGCAAAAATATGCAGTTGACTGGCCAGAAGGCGGGGCCTCCAGCCAATACAGCGCATTTATTGGCCAGAATATGTAATCGACTGGCTAGGAAGATGGCGGCCAGGGGGCCCTTCTGTGTGGATCTTTATTCTGTGCCTTTGACTTTCCCAGTGTCATGTCTATTTTCAGCTTTTGCCATGTGTTGAATAACGTCACTTTAGATTTCAATAGTTTCACAGTTAAGCAGTGTTTAAAGCAGTTTTGACAAGCTTTTAACAGTTCTGTGTCCAGAATACTACAGATTGATTCTCGTAAGATCTGGTAGAGTTATCGTTGCACTGACAACGGCGTTGTGCTAGACAGTAAACAAAGACAAGGTCCGTGACGGTGCATGTTGGCTACATGTAACTCCTTGCTTTTTGTTTCTATTGCATAAAGCTTGTTGGCGAGCCAAGCGATTGGCGATAACACATTGGCTATCTCCTCGTCTTTCTTATTTATAGGGAGCTCTGACTCAACTGATTTCTTTAGTCTCGCAAGTTATTTTCTTCGTAAACGCCGCACAAAACTTTACCCGCTTGGTTCGGTTTAATAGTTGTTTATGCTTTATTGATCTGATGCAGATCTGATGCAATTTTTCGCTCTTTGTACTGACTGTAGCCATCTATTCTGTGATGTAGCACCTTATACAGTCAATGGCAATGTATATTAATTAATACACGGTCTAAATAATATTGATGGGCACTTTAATAATTGAATGCCGGTATTAAATGTATAACATAATATTGTATTATTACGTAGAATCTCAAAGATTTTCTCAATATTCATGTCTGAAATGTTTACATACTTGAAAACAACACTGTCTCGCTTCTGCCTACGTACTGTACCTCTGTATAATGAGTATGCCGTGAAAATAATATCGGCACTCAATTGAATGCCTAGAATCTCAAAGAAATTCTCAATATTTACGTCTGAAATGTTTATACATTTGAAAACAACACTGTCGCTCCTTCCTAGCTTTGTATAATGAATAAACCGTCTACATATATCAGTACTTGATTGAAAGACCATCATGCATAACATAAATTTATTTATATATTGCGTAGATTCTCAAAGATTTACTCAATATTCATGTCTGAAATGTTTATACATTTGAAAAGAACACTATCGTTCCTTCCCAGCATCGTAATCTACGGCTTCATAGCGCATGCGCATTTGCGCTGCTATAGAAAAAATCGGGTGTTCCGGGGGGAAGATCCTTTACATAACATGAGAAGCGAATGTTCTGAAATTACAAAATTTACAATAACGACAATGATTCTTCGAAATTTTTGTGAACTTGGCAAAAGGACAAAAGAATATTTAAAGAAAATAAATACAATTGCTTAAAAAAGCACTGACTAGTACAATAAATCACTGCGAACATAAATCGTATACACCCCCCAGAAAGTTTACTCTATGACTGACTGTTTGACTGACTGACTGACCGATTCGTGTGAATTCGCCAGCCATCACAACATTGTGAAGTGAAACTTCACACTAATAATAATTATAAAACAATTAAAAACAGTTAATTTATTTTTTATTTAAATCCGTTGTCTGAAATTTGTTCAAATCGCTACACAATGGCCTCCGCCGAAACATCAATCTCGAACCCCCCTCCTAAACATACGTCAGCAGGTGGGTTCTATAACAAACATACGATCGAAGCGAGGTGAGTTCGGGAAACTTCCAGCCACCCGAGGTGCGTCTAATCCCGGATTCACCGAACCTACAAGTATGTTTTTTTTTCACATGCCATTTCGGTAAAATACTAAAAAGTACTGAAGAATTTTAGAAGCATTTTACTTTTTAGTATATAATTTCGTGTTTGGATAACGAACATTTTAGCCGCCAACATATACTACGCAAAAAAAAACAAACTTAGGCTTAAATTAAAGCTAAGAAAATTCTCTACAATATTCCCTTATTCTTGAAAAGAGAAAATGAACACATTCTGCGAAAACAATGCCAGGATTCATATAAACCTGCCCGTGACGAACAAAATTTCGACGGCCATCTTTCTTCTCTTCCACTTTGAATACAGAATATTCCATTTTTATCAAACAAAATAAAAAAATAATAATTATAAAACAATTAAAAACAGTTAATTTATTTTTTATTTAAATCTTCGTCTGAAATTTGTTCAAATCGCTTCATAATGGCCGCCGCCGAAACATCGATCTCGAACCCACCTCCTAAACTTACGTCAGCAGGTGGGTTGAACGCACCTCCTCGTAGCCAACAGGAAAGCCGCTAATACGCTAGGCATGAGATAAGAGATTGAACGCAGGTATGAGAATAGCCAATAGGAAAGCCGCTAATACGCTAGGTATGAGATAACGGATGGTACCGGATAAGAGTCTACTGGATACTGATCAGGGAATATGACAACTGGATACCAGATAATAACCGGATACTAATTGTAATACCACCATTTTTGCCCATAATATAGTCCATTACTTTACCGGCTAAGCACCTTATCTCTTTTGACAATAAGGCTGCATAAATATCGGGCAATCTACAGGAGAGAGCAGTTGCATGAACTGTACTTCATGAAAACTTTTTTCCAAAAAAGACAACAAAAACCTTTTTTCGTTTTCATGATTATAATAAAAGTTACAGCACTATCCAGCACTGTCAAAAATATGCGTCAAAAATAATACCGGATACTGCCAGATGTCTTATACTGATATTGGATACCATAGACGGATTTTGTGGGGGGGTGCAGGGGGGTGCTACCCCCCCAATATTAGCTATAACCCCCCCAAACAAAATGTCCACCCCTCCAAAAAAATTTTCAACCCCCCCAATATTCGGCATAATAAAAATAATTAAATAATCCACTCCAACGTGCAGAGTGTTGATGATACAAAATAAACGTAGGAGTACACTCAAATAGAAAGCAATATTATTGGAGCAATTGTAAAGTTTTGAAACTCTATTATCTCCCCTGAATAGAGTTTGCAGTGCCTTGTCATGCAAATAGCTTGCTTGCAAGGAACGTTTGGAATTTTTACAAACATTATTTTTCGTTTTTAATTCTTTTAGGTTTGTAATTCGTTTTTAATTCTTTTTAATTTTTTAATTCGTTTATAAAAGTAAAAGCATATTGTGTATTGGCCTATTGGGTTTACACTTTTACAGGTTCATTTAACTTTAACTCTCTCAATTCTCAACAGACAATCGGACACAGGGCCGTAGCGAGGGGGTGTTGGGGGAGTGTGGTTAATAATTAACCCCCCAACTTTTGTAGAATTAACATATTTGGAAAATCGGGTTGGCCATTCGGAAAATTACGGCAATAATAGTATAACAAAATTTTAATTGTTTAATTAAACAGAAAAAATATTATAATATTATAATCAGTATAAAATGATTTACGAAATCACGGCATTTACATGGATAACGTTTAACAAATCGTAATTCTGTAATTTTTTTTCGGTTTCAGTACTTCTCAGGACCGTAGCAACCGGGGGGGGCAGCACCCTTACAATAATTTGCTGATAATCAGTCTTTTTTCAAAATCATGCACACCTTTATCATTTAAACAATTGTTAATTTTAAGCGGCTACATTATCCATGACAAACCGCAAAGAATTATAGTACCCATACTCTTTCCTGCAACTTCTCCAATATATAGCTAAATACGACTTCGCCCATTTAATTCTGCTAAATTGTAAGTAAATTGTAAATTTCGACATACTAAAACTCTATTAACAACTCAAACCGACTTTACCACGTAGCTCAGTTGGCAGAGCATTGGACTAGCATCCCAAAGGTCGCGGGTTTTATTTCCACCGTGGGCAAGCTAACTTTTCAGCTTCCCGGTGTGGATCAGTGGATGCATACTCAGAGTAACATCACAAACATCATATTCACTTGAGTACACAACACCAACACACACACATAAATCATATCAAAGATTACACTGATGTCGAAGGAACTAGATTCAGTTCCGAAATATCAACAAGTCGAACCGACTTGACCACGTAGCTCAGGTGGGAGAGCATTGGACTAGTATCCCAAAGGTCGCAGGTTCGACTCCCACCGTGGCCAGGCACACTTTTCAGCTTGCCCACTGTGGATGCATACTCAGAGTAACATCACAAATATCATATTAAAACTCTGTTTTCTGACCATCAGAATTCTGTCAAAACTTCCCCCAAAGTCCAGGAAATGGCATTTCAGAGAATCTAAATTTAAAAATTTCCTCGGGCCTTCGGCCCTCGTTCCCAGCCCCCAATCAAAAAGAGCTTCCTACGGCACTGCATACTTCTGTAATATGTCTTTGTGGAAACTATGTGGGCTATGTGTATTTTTGTTTGTAAATTGCGTCTTCATTTTCCAGATAGCAAACACCTTCGTTGCTTCGTATGCCATGAAATATTCGGAAATTTTTTTCGTCATTCGGAAATATTTGGCCTACACCCCCCACCCCCAAACTATACATGCTAGCTACGGCCCTGATCGGACAGGCCAAATCCATTGATATGACAACTTCAAAAAACGTTTTTTCGAAGCTAGAAATCATGATTTTTTTCAAATTTTTCCAGGGATACTTTGTTTTCTGCTCTCTAGACTCCCCCTCGCGGCTCTAGTGCTCCACCCCTAGAATATAGACCTTACTGGGGTTTGGTGACACTTTGTGTTGCTTCAGTCACCTGCTCACGGCTCACCCCCCTAAAATTTCTGGCACCACCCCAGTAAAAAATATGAAAATCCGTCTATGTTGGATACAGGTACCCAGATCCGGTATATCCCTATAATGTCAGAACAAGCTCTGTGTGTTTTTTTAATAACAATTTTGCTTTAAAAATTACACATTGATTCACAATAATGTTGGACTTTCTTGTTTACTATGCCATTTACTAAACTCTCATCCATTCTCGGGCAATTCTGTTGAACCCGCCATATATTGTGTATCCTCTAGTAAGTAACTACCTACGGTACCGGGGTACGTAGTATACACAAAACAGGCTCAGCCTGATAAAATATTGCCCATGGTCCTCAAATGCGTTGGCTATGCATATTGATCTGTCTCAACACCAACTGTCAAAAATGTTAATAATGTATTTATCCTCATCCCGCCTGACAATGGATTTAAATCACTGACTTAATAGCCAATTTCGTTTAACAGAAATGAAAGGCTGTAGTAAATAATTGAGGTTATAGGAATAACCCACCTTACTTTAGTGTTTTACTCTGTCTAATGGTAGGCGATTTTAATTGTCAATTGGAGGGAGCTGGCATTCAATGAGTTAAAACTCAAAACATCTGTTTGTTTTCGATGATTTGTACCACGGCCGGATTTTGAGGGGAGGTGTGGAGAGGTGCGCACCTCCTCTGAGATCGTTTTCCACCTCCCCTGAGAATTTTTGCACCTGTTCTGAAAAGTCATGCACTTCCCCTTGGGAAAATTTCGATGATAGATCAGAGTGAAAATTTTTGGTTGCTTAGGGTTGCATTAGACATTTTTAGACATTTTTGTTGCTTAGGGTCCACACTTCGTAAGAACGTTTTTCGTTGAAATTGAAACAGTGATAGCCATTCATCTTTGTGTACCCTTTCAATGCAATGTTTTGAATGAAACTTTGCAGTGATTGTGATGAAGGGCAAAATTGGAATTCATTAATAAACTGATACATATGACATGTACACTACATGCATACGTCATGTCGTTGACTTTGGTTTGTTCTAATAGACCCATTGCACCACAGGCGGCCCAATCTCTGAACGTCCTATATATTTTGAATATTTAACCGTACTAATATTTTAAAATAACAAAATAATTAAAAAAATATTAACAATATATGTAAAAAAATGTATCTCACTTGTTAATAGAATCCATTTGTTACGTTTTCGTCGTACTTGAACGGTCGTCAGTACTATGGCACTGGACGACATGGCCGTATAGGACATAAATAACTACAAGGCTAGCCACTTATCTGATATACTCTCCGACATCGAGTCCAATATCTCGCCTCAGAATCGTCGCAGAGCAATAAATTTCACATCGTCTAATAGCACGAACGTTCCTCTTTCGAAAGAACTTGGTTTCTTCACCATTGCGGCAATTTCCGCGACACACGACGAACTTTGTTTGTCAAAAGTCCAAATTTCCATTTTCGACAGACGCGCTAACCCCATGATCGTCGCCGCAAATTTCGAAACCGTCGACGGTCGAGCACATCATTGATGGTCGAACACATCATTAATCTCGTTCCCAGATTGCTTTTGAGGTGATTAGCGCGTGGAACCATTTGGTGACACCTTAAACCAATCGATGCCAGTAAAGATTTTACGCAGTATGATAGTATACGATATAAATGTCTAATACTTGTTTATTGTCGAATACAGCCTGATAAAGTAATAATTTCTATTTATATCGTGTGTTTTATCGCGTTGCTTTGAAAGCCTCCTCATTCCAGTCCAGCTCCTCCCCCCCTGATGGAATGTTTTCAAACGAGGAGGCCAGGTTGCTGAGCAGCTCTCGTGGCGACGATCATGGGGTTAGCGCGTCTGTCGAAAATGGAAATTTGGACTTTTGACAAACAAAGTTCGTCGTGTGTCGCGGGAATTGCCGCAATGGTGAAGAAACCAAGTTCTTTCGAAAGAGGAACGTTCGTGCTATTAGACGATGTGAAATTTATTGCTCTGCGACGATTCTGAGGCGAGATATTGGACTCGATGTCGGAGAGTATATCAGATAAGTGGCTAGCCTAAAATTGTAGTTATTTATGTCCTATACGGCCATGTCGTCCAGTGCCATAGTACTGACGACCGTTCAAGTACGACGAAAACGTAAAGCAATCGCATCAACTAGACTCAGAAACATAACAAATGGATTCTATTAACAAATGAGATGCATTTTTTACATATATTGTTAATATTTTTTGAATTATTTTGTTATTTTAAAATATTATAACGGTTAAATATTCAAAATATATAGGACATTCAGAGATTGGGCCGCCTGTGATTGCACATGACGTCACCGCGCCGGTGACGATGCATCTGGAGAACAAATTAGCAATCTATGCATAATATAACTTTTGCTTTACAAAGCAAATTTTGTAAAACTTTATATTTATTAATAATTTTGTATTAAAATGGTTAGTTTTTGCACTATATGCGGTTGTTGAACCCGGACAAATATTGTTAGGGAGCATCTGGAGGACACTTTAAGGATTTGTGATGTCAGTGGAATGGGTCTATTAAGCCCTAACTGCATGGGGATTGGAGGTGGTGAGCTAAACCGCTGCACCTCCCCTGAATTCTTTTCCACCTCCCCTACTATTTCCACCAAAATCCGGCCTTGATTTGTATCAATGAAGACAGATTGACTCAGAAGTTTAGAGAATCAAAGAACTTTATAAATCGATATATTTTTTCAAGGAAGATCAAATAAATTAATTATGTAAATTTTACATATGCCGGTCACCGTGCATTTGGGGATTATGGAAGTGTTTGGCAATACTTTATTGGAATGTTTAATCTAAATTTAGCTATTGCCTGGCACAAAAAACCTTGTTTAACACAAAAATATTTGTAGAAATAGATATTTTTCTGGATAGTGACTTATTTCTTAAGTTAATCTTGCTGATAAAGTAGTTTTTAATCAAAAATTTGAATTTTGTGACAAACATAACGCTATTATAAACTCATAAGTCATAAACAAGTTTTTCCCGCCAATTTTCGCTTGGGACTCAGGTAGTATTGTTGCTAAAATGAATTTTCCATATGTTGTTGAATCGTTGTGTGTGTATCAGCGACTTCCCCCTGGGGTCAACCCCCGGGAACCCTGGGGGATTGGTCCTCTTACACAGTCAAATATTAGCAAATTCCTCCTGGGTATGAGGCATATGTATTACATCCAATCCCCCATCCCTGAGGGCCGTACCCTTTTTCGATCCAATATCAAGTTACACAATCAGGTAACAGTACAAGCAGTATATATTAATAAGCTCTCATTTGTTGACTATTACAGTTAGTAATAATCCCAAAAAAAAACAATATAAACAATGACTTGTTTAACAAGTCAAATGTTGTTTATATTGTTTTTGGGGGATTATTAAAATTGGCATCGTGAATATATGTATTTTTTGCGTTAAAAACATTGGCTTGGAGTTCTTTAATTTGCATACTGCTGTGTGTGTTGTGAAGAAGTCACAAGGGATTTAGCCCACATCCGGGAGTTTCTTATCAAATCCCCGGGTACTTTCCCGGGGGTTTTAGGGTGAGAACCAAATTTGACCTTTCCCCCACTCCAAAGGGACACAAATACTTGACAAATGCCTCTGGGTCTCTGTTGGATCCCCGGGGTCGGCCCCAGAGGGAAGCTGCTGATACATGCATTATCATTAGCTAGCAAAAAGCTCAAGAATCATCAAAATTATTCTTGCATTTTTTCGGTCGAAATTCGACAAATTCAAATCGTGAAAAATAATGAAAAATGAATAATGAAAGAATTCTGCATCAACTTTTGAAATTTTAGGTGGCGGTAAACTGATACCTTAATTCCATCGGCCTAAAGTCTAAAACAAAATCTCGTTCTTGATTACATTTTTAATATTCTAAATATATTCTTTAATACTGTATTTTGTATCTTCGTATTAAATCTTCGTATATAAATTTCGCTACTAACTCCTGACGAAGGGCCTTCGCTCGAAACCATTTCGAGCAAAACGTCGACGGTTTACTTCTGCTAGCAAAACACCAGATGGTTCATGAAAAATACAAATTTTACTTTGTATACCAGCTAGCTTGTATTTGTCACTATCGTCAGTCGGAGTGAGTCGTCACTTTAATATTTTATATATCAATAATAAATACTTCGTAAAAGCTAAGAAAACTTACTTGAATGAACTAGAAGGAAAAGGCCAATGTGGTAGAAACATTGTAAATAGCAATTATAGCAAAAGAAGGTCTTGAATTTGTAGCAAGAAATATAAAATAATTTTTCAGTAAATTTCTGATTCGAATTCCTGAGCAAGCATCCAGTACGTGACAACATGAAGTATCACCTTCAAACAGCTCTTTCCGCTGTTCAGATTTGTGAGCCAAATTATAGAGCTGCAAAAACCATCACGTTCACAAAATTTGTAAATTATGGCTAGGATTTTTCTTTTTTTATTCTTTTCAACAATATTTTGGAGTCGATGTACTTCTACCAGTGTGCTAGGAGTTAGTCCTAACAGTAAGTATGCGCTTGAAGTTTTATATTTAGGTCAGAAAATTGTCGAATGCACAATTGATATTTTCATCCGGTCCTTGACCTGTGATAGAACGTGGCGTTAATTCAATGACAGGTGATCAAAATAGTCCGTTAGCTTAGCTTCAAACGCAAATCAAGCAGTAAATTTTTAGTAGAGCATGTTATTGGTAGTAATATTAGGTCATGACCTATACCTTTGTTGGCTATTTAATATATTACACCGCATGTATTAGCATGTATTTATAGTACTAGTACTGTACATAGATGATACATTAAGTTAATAGGAGATATTTAACAGTTAGTATAGGTGGGTTGCACATGAGATCACAAGTATTAAAAACTGGCTGTTTTATATGTTTTGTATATTGAGTGTTCACCAAAAATGTTTGGTCAACCAAACCAACTGGACATGCAATTATTTCTGGTTCAGCTCTTACCAAGCTTTCCTCCTATAATTTTCCAATTGGTAAAATTGTGGAATCAAAAGAACTCTGTAAGAAGTGGATAAATTTAAAGTGGAAGTCAAGTCCGTATGTAAACAAATGGTTTGTTTACATTTTGAACTGCTGTATTTTTTTTTAAATATGACGTACTGTCTGAATATCTAATACCATTTTAGTTCGCTATGCTTCTAAATGAATATGAAATAGAGTTTATGTTCAGAAAAATTCGAAACATTTGAAATTTGGGCAATAAACACATTAGAGGGTCCTCACATTGTTATGCATGAGCAGAACCGATGTGCAGAACGAACTTGACTTCTACTTTACTGTCGTTCCAATTGAAGTGTTGCTCAAATATTGATTCAATACATTACCTCGGGCTGACCAATTCATTTGATCAAGTTCCTCGAGATATTCATACACTTCCTGTGAAAGAGCCAATTCCAAGTATTTGATCATTTCTGGTCACTTCCTTTCTATTTATGATTGGTTAGTTGCACAAACAACAAAGGTGATTGGTGCATTCAAACTATTCAACAGGAAGTTTAGAATTATACTAGGAAGTGTATGAATATCTGGAGGAACTTGATGAAATGAATTGGTCAGCCCGAGGTAATGTATTGAATCAATATTTGAGCAACACTTCAATTGGAACGACAGTAATTGAAGCAAAGATTTCTTTCCAACAGCAGGCATTAGAGTGTGTTCTTTGCATATATGTTCTAGTGCAATTCCATTTAATTAACACACACCCCTATGAACAAGGTCTGAATAAAATTTGAACCCCAACAAAAAAAAGATCAAAGTGCCGACACAAACACCCCCAGAATTTAAGAAATTTTTGCCTTACCCCTCAGAAAAAAATGCAAAGATCAAAGGATGCCAAAGCACACAACCGGCTTTTTCAAACCCCCTCAGAAATTCTTGTCCATAGGGGTGTGTGTACATTAAATGGAATGGCCCCTAGGAGAACTACACTACTGTAAAACCTACATGAACCAGCTGCCATATTTGAATGTTCCAAACAAATTCCCAACAAATCCCAAACAATGTTCCCAACAAATTATTGACTAATGATAAAAGCACAGAATATAACTCCTTTATATATATCAGAATATAGTTGGGGATTCTTTTATTGTTGGTAAAACAATAAGGAATGCAACACGTAAAACCACTACTTTTACTATGATAGCGGACTCAATGAGAGCGGACTATTGCCATTAGGCCCATTTATATACTATCAGCACTGTCAAACCTTTAAAGACCTGTGCAAGAGTTCTGAACTAGGATTTCAGCAGCAAGAAATAGCAAAGTACTAGGGTCTTCATTGGCTTCAACAGCCTCCAAAAGACGACAAAGAACAGCTCAGCACACTCGCATTCAACAGTAGCCATGTTGGATTGTTTTGAATTTTGCTGCTGTGACTACTAAGACCAGAATATTACCCACATGCATCTTACCTTGTGATGTCATTATGCATTTAAGGTCTATTTGGATCATAACTATGAATTTATATTGAGTTTAAATTTGATACAAGGGTACCTTCATGTCAATAACTGTAATATGTTGTGCTGTTCCGCTCATATGAGTTGTAAGTTGTATTCAATACATTTTGTTGTTAACCATTGAATGCCAGTGCTCTCACCTAGATGCGTAAAATCATCTGGTACTAGACAGAATAAAATAATAAAGTAGGAAAATTTAATGTGCATTACTGTATAGGGTGTAAATTCAACTTGACTCATGGTTACCATCACAGTTGTACTTGTTCTTAAAACATAACTGAGTTACCATTGCTCCAAGGTAACAAAGTTACTTGCCAACAAATCATTTGAGCAACATTATACAGAATTTTTGTATTTGTTATACCAGGAACATCATATCATACTGTAAATTTTCCATTTTGAGCTGGATTTAGATCAGATACAATAAAAATATAAATATAGGGAGATCCCCATCTACAAAAGAGTTTGCTGGCATGTTCCTTTAGAAAACCTTATCGGGCTAGTTGTCGCTGCCAAAAAGGTGGGAACTAACAAAAACAATCAGACAGTGAATGAGATGATGAGATCTGGTTAGAATTTAAGAAAGGTTAGGAAGTTATTTACAACATTGTATAGTACATCACTCACGCATATAAAGATGCATATAAACATCGACAAATTCTATGCAGTTTAGTCTGGAAGAAACAAGATAAGTATAATTAATCCCTGACCCTTTGCCAAAACTATTAGCAACACGCTAGTCTAATGTGGAATGACTTGTTATTTTCAAGATGCAGAGTCTCGTATTTAAACGCGATTGTGAGACCAGCAAGACATTTAACTTTATCCTAATGTTTGAAATTTTGTAGTATTCACAGTCAGAATACTATAGTCATTGACAGTTTGTTATCCAAAACCAAATTTTATGGATCTCAGGGTACTGCAATTTTTAGAACCTGTAATAGCTGACGTTCTGACATTTTATTGAACACTGTATGACACTCTTGTTTAATTAGTCTTTACAGTAGAAACGTCTGAGACATTCTCATTAGAATAACTGAATCAGAATCAGTTCCTACACGGCTACAGCACATATAAGTGTACAAAACCTTTGGTTTCAAATCAGACAATGAGTTATAATAAATATAGCATAGCCTCATATAGCCTCGTATAGCCTCGTTGCTCAATGTGCATGACACACATACGCTGTACAGTATTGAAGAAGTTATATGGCAGGCTTTGGGGATGGTGAATCTTATGCAAAATAAATAAAACTCAACGTCTAGTGGAGTTGAGAGCTTGCTTGTCTATGACCATGTTGACAACATGCAGGGCGAGGACAAATTCAACAACCGACATACAGTACTTATTACGATTTACGGTTTTCTTCCAAATCCTTCGATAAATTTTAACAATATACCGTTGCGCATGCCGTATATCAATGTATCGATAAATTGTTTTTTAATATCGAAGTATTTGGTATTGTATTTATAAAAATATCGATTTGCCGAAAATTTCGATTTATGTTCGCTATTTTCGGTATTGAACGTGAACAACCAGCTGAACAGACTAAAAGTACTAGGTGTGAATGTTATTATACATATACTGTAGATGTATGGTGTGGCGTAATGCTTGAATGTAAGAATTACTCTTCTGAAAAGTGTCAATTTAAGAGTACTTTTTTCTGTTGTACATTGGGTTTCTTTTCATGCCTTGAAGTTTTAGGGTGAATATTTTGTGACGTTTCTGACCGACATGTACAGTATCATTAATATATTTTGGTATATCGGTCTTCGATATTTCATTGCCACAATAACCTATTGAGTTAACACCAAAGATTTTTGACGAACATTGGATCCAAGCTTTTCTCATTAACTGGACCCAACGAGGTGTAGTAATGGTGATTAATTTAATAATTTTGCATGAGCCGCATCTCCTATATACCTGAAACAAAACATCTCATTTATTTGCTCACCGTATTTCCATATTTTGCTCATAACATACATTATATTAATTTTATATACAATAAAATTAATATAGACCGATACATTCTCCAAATTGATCTTAGCAAATTAAAGACAATAACGTGAATTACAATAAAATTATAATTGATCTTAGCAAATTAAAGCTACAGCAAGAAAGTTGGCCAGTGGAATTTGTAATTGCAAGAAAGATCCTTCACAGCATGAAAGTAATAATATTATATTTATAATGATATCGATTTGTCATGTATGTTACAAAGTGAGCTGCAAAGGCTAATTCTATTTTGTACATGTCTAGCAAAACCAAGTGTGTGATTGCTCTTATACGTGCAATGCGTGCTACCGCGGTGCCTACAGTACAGTACGGTACAGTACATTACAGTACAAAAGACAATTCCACCTAATATTTTACTAGGTAGTTCTCAGATCATGCAGTCTTGCACTGTTGCTGAAATCCTTGTAGAACTACAGCGGCATAACATAGACTCGATGAGGAAAATACATACAGAATGCATAAATATTTGGGATACATGGACTCGTACACAAACCCAACTTTTATGTTTACGCTAGACTGCTCACGATTGCAAGATTTGTCAGTTAATGGAGCAAATTATGCGTAGATTGATACATAGAACGTTTTAAACACATTTTGCAAAGTACACTAGTGGATATTCTAATGTTATTGAGTTACAATTGCTCGGTTGTTCGAATGCCGGTTAGCTTAGAATCTCCAACAGCGTGCTTACAAACTTGGTGATATTTTCCCAGAAATCATCTCTGGATCAAACGAGCATGCAGAAGTACCATGCAAACCAAAACAGCGGGCTACATTTTAACCCAGGGTTAGCGCTAATCCAGCTTTGAATAACCAGCCCCAGTGCTAGATGATTTTATGATACATGTGTATTTTACTTGATTAGAAGATACCCCGGTTCCGGTTTACGGGTACAAGTATCGCCATTTTGTTTACCAATTTTTGCTGATGTCAGCAATTTTACCCGTAATTTCTACCCGTTTCCCCGTGGTAAACCATGGTCTACACGTAAAAGACAAACGGGTACGGGTGTTTCCTGTTTACTATTTTTGGGCCGTCCAAATAGTACAAATTTTCAACATCTTACCCAAATAAATAATGCACATATGCTGGTCAAAGTTTTCAACAATTTTTGGCGAACCTCAACAGCGAAAGTTGCCATTCTCTGATCGGTTTTCTCATGCCGGAGTACTTGGATTTCTTAAGTTACAAGTTATTCTCCGATTTACGGGTACGGGTACGTGTATATCACCCGTAAACCGGAATCGGGGTATCTTAACCTCTCTAATGAAGGTCAAGATGTCCGTTCATGAATAGCGTATTCAAGATTTTTGTTCTCATTACAAGTGCACTCATGCAGGGCGCTTTCCATTTGAACAAAACCCCCAGTTTGCGGTTCCGGAATGTCCAGTGGCAAAATGGAACGCTACAGCGTGACAGACCTTGTAAATAATGAGAGGGTTGTTGGGCGCTTTCCATTTGACAGAACTTCTGGAAATCTTGCTTGAAAATAAAATGGAACACGTTAATTTCTGGAATGATGTTTCTTTAATTTCGAAGAGTTTGACACTACCGCTCAAATCTCCTCTTTGAGCATTCGGCGAAATAAATCCAGACTCGAGGCACTGAAATGGTCGAGAACACGCCATTTTGGTTTTGGTGGCGGTTTTTGCTCAAAAACTTTTGTAAAGCAACATTGGTTGGGAAATATTTTAATGGAATGTAAAAATTTCGAAACTTCCGGAATTTCCAATTTGTGGACAACCTCGAGAGATTGTCCGGAATTTTCGAAACAGCATTCCGGAAATTAACGTGTTCATTTGATTTTCGAACAAGATTTCCGGAATTTCCGTCAAATGGAAAGCGCCATGTTTATTGCTAAAGTCTTTGCTAATGTTTCATCTGCATTTTCCTGCATAGGATTACCACTGTATGATCCGAGTAAAGATTTCACATGTCTAGATGGGTCTCAACTACTGAGCTTTTCAAGTGTCAATGATGATTATTGTGATTGTACTGATGGATCTGATGAACCAGGTAAAGGTGGATCTAAATATATGGTGTTTCCAAGGAAACTGCAATGCCTGTTCAAATTAAGAACTGCGCAGTTTTGACAGAGTTCTACGGTGGCCCATACGGGCCAACCCTTCTCCGTACAAAGTTGCACCTTCTCCGTACAAATGTGTTGTTATTCTATGGAAATCAAACTTCTCCGTGGAATATTGCCGTTGTTCTGTCACGGAAAGCCTCTTCTCCGTACAAATATGCAGTTTCTCCGTGGAAACACGCATCTTCACCGTGGAAACACGCAGCATTTCTGTGGAAACACCGCAGCTTCTCCGCGGAAACGCGTAGCATTTGTGTGAAACACGATGCGGTGGCCCGAACGGGGCACCTCTTCTCCGCAGAAACATGCAGCTTCTCCGTAGAAACACGTGCCTTCTCCGTAGAAACACGTGCCTTCTCCGTGGATGAGCACTTTCCTTGTGAATTAAAAAAGGCACGCCCCCTGAATATTTATTGGTTTTATACGACGGGGGGGGGGGGAAGAGAAAATAAAATCACAACGCAACATCGTGGTCAAAACATTACAAGCCAATTTTATAAATATGAATGCTTTAAATATGGGCACAGATGCAGAGATTTTGATCGTTTATAGCTTTTGTAACAATTGTGAAAATAGAGTTGATATACTGGTAAGTATACATACTAAGTTTTACTTTTTTATATTTATGTTTAATATCATTTTTATTTGTGGATTTATACTTTTATAAATTGAATATTTAAATATACACCATGTTAATCTGTCAGTCAGTCTCGTATACGGATCTGCTAGTGTAGGTATTTGTATATCCACTCAATTTATAAAAGTATAAATCCACAAATAAAAATGATATTAAACATAAATATAAAAAAGTAAAACTTAGTATGTATACTTACGAGTATCAACTATACAAAAGCTATAAACGATCAAAATCTCTGCCTGGCAATTCTCACAATTTATATGCTGGATATCTGTGCCCATATTAAGACCATAAAAAGCACAACAAGTATTTGAAGCACAGGGAAACAAAAAGAAATATGATTAAAGCATTCATATTT